TTTTAGGTGTCCTATTATTGTATTGTCATAATCATCAGTTGAAAAACAAGGTGAAAATAAGGGAAGATTTTGAACAAAAGCCCAAATGTTCAAGGCTTTTAGATGATTCCTTTTCTCCCCCTTTACTGTGGCAGGTGTCATTACAAGCATTACTCACACCGCCTACCGACCGCCAGCATCATCATTTGCTTCTACAATGAGGAATTTAATGCCTTGCTTCGGACGGTGTTCAGCGTGGTGTACCTCACGCCGCCTCATCTCCTCGAAGAAATTGTTTTAGTGGATGACATGAGCACATTTGGTAAGATGGGGCATCGACCCTCCGCCCTGCTTGGAAAGCAGTACGCACCTGCTGGGCCGAGCTCTTCTTCTACAAGGTTGTTCTTGGCAAGCCCAGAGACAGAGGTGGTGCTAGGTGCTCTCGGTGCATATAGGGGACACACAGGACCTGGTCCCTGTCCTGATGGGCCTCCCACAGGGCCAGCCAGGAGTACCAGCCTCGTCTTCGGTATTGCTTTGGAAGAAGTGACGTGTAAATGGAAGATGGGGCGATGGTTTGGAGTTATCCAGCTGGAGAGGACGAAGGTGTTTTAGGTAGAGAAAGCACCTTGCAAAGCCCGAGAGATGAGAAAGCGTGGCTAGTTTTAGCTACTTCTGTGTTGCACGTAGCTTATGCGTGAGTGTGGAGTAGGTAGGGTGAGGGGTGGGTAGGCATAAAATCAGAGGTATTAACAGGAAACAACTCCAGAACAGCATTGTTTGAATTTATCTCACAAATATGCGGAACTCTTGAGGAAATGACCAGATCCAGGTGTACCACACATGAAAGAAATCTAATGGGACCAAGAAATAGTGAAGTGCTTATTCCTCTAGGCTTATTTGTTTTAAAAGAACCCTAGAGCCAAGCGTGGTGTTGCACGCCTGTAATCCCAGCATTCGGGAGGCTGAGGCAGGATGATCGCTGAGAGTTCAAGACCAGCCTGGGCTACAAATTGAGCTCAAGGCCAGCCTGAACTGCATAGCAAGACCCTGCCTCAAAAAGACTAAATAAATAAATGATAAATAAATAAAAGAATTATAGTATAAGCACAAGATAAGCACCCTTAGACTCTAAAATTAGTTGTCTGTTTTTACAGCTGAGTGTGGACTTTCAGCTAGCCAGTAGTGCCAGAGCAGTGATGTAGTCTTGGAGAGCTGTGAGCCGGAAGAGGAAGGAGATGTCCCGGAAGCTCACCCTGTAGGGAGTGACTCCAGTGGGCTCTGGAATGTGACTCAGTTAGTTAATGTCACTCCACTTGGAACTTAGATGTTGTGGGTGGCTCCAGTCACATATTAGCATCGCTCCCAGGGCCTCGCCAGCATCGGAGGGCACAGGCCTGTTTATGTCCAGTCTTGTGCACAAGAAGGCCGTGGGGAGCTGTCCTGGCTGCCTCTGTTGCTCATAGTGCAGAGCGTGTTTGAAAGAAGTCACAGTAAAACCACACACGGGCTCAGCCCATAGCGCAAGCGTCTCGCCAAGGGAAGCAGCTCCAGGAAGGACCGCAGGACCCCTCTGGAGACATGCCTGGTGGCTTAGCTTAACAGCTCCTACAAAACATCATACACTGGTGGCTTAAGCAACGAACATTTATTTTTCACCATTCTTCAAAGTGGGAGGTCAGAGAGCAGGAGCCCATAAGGCCAGGTTTTTGCTGAGCGTCCTCTTTCTGGTTCCAGATGGATGTCTTTTTGCTGTGTCTTCACGCAGCAGAAACAAATCAAATGAGGTGTCTGGCCTCTTCCTTTGAGGGCACTAATCCTGTTTGTGTGGGCCCCACCCTCATGACCTAATCCTTCTTCAAGTCCCCACCTTCAGATCCTGTCCTACTGGGAATTAAATTTTGGCAGATGTATTTGGGGCAAGAGCACAAACTTTCATCCCCTAACCTCGGAAACTGCTCATGCATTCACTGTACATTTTGGTCCCTTTCATAAGGGACTAGTGGGATCAGTGAGTATGCTGCCAGACCAACACCTACCTCTACTTCCCCTAGACCTTGGCCTTGGACCCATGCAGAGCCTCAGACACAGACACAGGGCCCTGTGTTCTAATGAGGCTCAGGACTGACACCTGCCTTTAGTCCCCCATGACTTCATCATGGATCACAGGACACTTCTGGACCACCGCCTGGATTTTGCCCATTGGTTTGTCTTCCAGTGGACTCCCTCTGCTTAGGGGAGCAGAGGACAGAGGCTGGGGACCTGCCCCCACTAAGTTACACAAATGACACGTCCATGGCCTGACACTGCCCACCTTTCTCATCACCCTGGTCCCTCTGGATCACCAGCTAGCAACATGACAACCTCTTCTGAAAACCCCAGCAACTACCACTTCCGGTCAGCCACAACTGCCGCCCACCCCGGCTTCATCCGCACCAAGGTCTGGTTCCCAGAGTCCCCTGCTCCGGCCGCTGGAGAGGGCTGCACACAGTTGCACGGAGGTGCTGTCCACCCCTGCACGAGGCCGAGCAGCCTGCATCCCTCCCTACAGGGCCCTGGCACCCTTAAAGAAAAGGAAAAGGACCCTGGCTTCTGCCACAATTTCCATGAACCCGTGCCACTGCCCCTCACTCCTGGAGCTTGGGGCGTAGAACTCTGGGGTACCTGTATCATCTCCCCTGGTTTCAGCCTCCAAATACTGGGTGACTCTGGGTGATGCCCTAGAGGGCTGCCAGGAACACGGTGGGAAACTCCTCTTGCAGATGAGCAATTTAGGGCCCAAACAGTCTGACAACTGCCCGAAGACTCACTACAAAGTTAAAAGCAGTGTGATCACAATGCAGTTTGTGTCGTTAGCGGCAAAACCAGATCGCACCAAAGCGCTCTCGTTCGTACTTTTTCTATTAAAATTTTAATAGTGATTTTTAAAAATAAAGACATTTCACTAGAAGCATAGAAATTTCTTTTAAAGTTAGAACTTGCGTGCAATGGCTTGGCTTTTAGGAATCAGTTATGATGCTAAATTGTTTTCCGTCATCACAGTTTATAAACTCTCAAGCATTGCTTGTTTTTTCCAGATGATTTGAAAGAAAAGCTTAATTATTTTCTGGAACGTTTTCGGGGAAAGGTTAAATTGGTAAGGAACAAAAAGAGAGAGGGACTGATCCGAGCAAAGATGATCGGCGCGTCACACGCCTCAGGTACGGACCCTGTCAGGGACGTCACTGCGCGGCCGGCCACAGATGTCCTCCGCCTCTCAGAGTCCCTCCCTGTGTCTGGAGCCTAGCTTTAACCTTAGGTTGCTTCTAAATGTGTCCGTTTGCTATTTCAAATGGAAGATTCTTTTGCAAGGGTCATGAGGGCCCTGGGAGCTCCCTGGACCCCAACATTGAGATGGCATTTTGGGTGCTGAAGGCCCCAGGGGAACCACTGGGACTGGGCGGAGGGGAAGCCTGGACTCAGGATAGGGTCATTTCTGGCCCCATTCAGAGGCCCCTTCTCTGGGCTGGACAGACACTGACCTCTACACTCTCTCTCAGCTCTCCTTGTCCCCATACAAACACACTGTGTCTATGCTCAAAAGGAAAATTAGTTTATGATTTTCTTTTTCTGTACTGTTTTCTTATACTTTGCCTTCTTATTCTCATAGAATAACTGTATGTTTGTTTTGTTTGTTTTGCTAAAAAGCTATATAAGGTTGGATGATCTGTATTTGGAAAGTTACATAAAATTGTTCTATAAATCATCCAGGCACTGGGAATCTTTTATGGTTTCCCCTTTAATTCAGCTATTTTTTAAATGAAATTTAAAGTTTCTAAACCTAAGGAAAATATAAACAGAAGGGATCTTTAAAATGGTCTTTTGTGCTGGGGGTATAGCTCAGCGGTACAAGCGCCTGCCGGGCAAGTGCAAGGTCCTGAGTTCGATTGCCGGTATAAAAAAAATTGTAAAGTGGCCTTTTGTTTATTACTAGCTTAACTGTTCTGTAGCTGGAAATTGGCATTTCCTTTGTGTCTTAAAGAGAGATCCATTTTCCATAAGGTCTGTGTATATTTTAAGAGAATGCATATTTTCTTCTTGTGATTGTAGGTTCTATATGTACATTTACTTTTGTTATATTAAAGACTTCAATCGTGATTGTGCACTTACTCATGCATCTCTCCTTGTAGTTTTGCCTGTGCTATCATCTACCTACCTAGCTACCTACCTTTGCCTTCTGTCCCCAACCACCCCAGTGATTGTTGGGGAGCTGCCTGAGCCAGGCGCTGCCAGATCAGAAGCTGTTGGAGTCCTGCTGGGTGGGCGGTGAGGTAGCAGCCAGTGACCTATGCTGTAGTCAGGGTTTACAAAGGAAACAATTTAACACTGGACACATAATTAATAGGATTATCTTATAATAGTCATCCAAGGGTCAAGTACAAAGAGAGTGCAGGAAAGTACAACGTCTCATGCAGGCCTGTTTCATGGATCTGTGCTGGGAAGACCCAAAGGTCAGTGGTGCAAGCTAGAAAGTCTGTGCCAGCAGGATGAAGGGTCTGTGCTAGCAGGCTGAGGGATCTGCACTGGAGCCAGGAAGCGACGCTCAAAATGAGAACCACAGCTCCCCCAAAAAGTGTCACAGCCATCCTCAGTGACAACAAGGTTCTGAGCTCCTCCAACGATGAGAACAGCCAAGTTCACCAGGAAAGCCAGTGTGACAAGCTCCTCCAGGAGAACCAACAGCTCCCTCACAGCACCTCTTCTTCAGTTCTCCTTCTTATTTTGTGGGCAACCATGCTCAGCTAGGCCTGCACACCCAGCACCATGCTAGTTCAGTTCAGCTGGGTGTTCCAAGTTGACCATTAGCTAATCCACCACACCTATCATTAATGTGTTCATGAATTCACTCGTTCAATCACTGATTTATTTATCACCTACCATGTGCAGCGCATGTACATCCCTAAGTGGAAGCAGTTTATATGGAATACACCGGGCCCCCTGGGCCTGCGTGAGGGTTTTCACACTGCATTAACAGGTGCATGAGTTCCTGTTTGAGCTGCCATCTTGCTGAGGCGCTGGCACTTGCATTATTGGAAGGTGACTGTGTTTCCACTATGGCCTCCCAGAACTTGTCCCTCCTCTCTCTCAAACCTGGTCACTTCCTGTCCTGCTGGCATCTTTTTTTTTTTTTTTTTTGGTCTTGTCTTTTTGAGACAGGGTTTCACTATGCAGTTCAAGATGGTCTTGAACTCACTTTGTAGCCCAGGCTGGCCTGGAACTCACAGCAATCCTCCTGCCTCAGCCTCCTGAAACAGCAGAAAGTGCTGAGCCCGTCTGCCTGGCGCTGCATGCTTGCCCCTGCGCTCTAGGTGCTGACAAACAGCACCAGGGTCACCTGCCCTGGGTTTCAGGCTGCAGCGCCTCCCGGGCAGCACATGAGCCCTCGTGCCCGAGCCCTTGTGAAGTAAAATTAGGGTCCCTGGAGTCCATACCCTGCGTGGGACACTAGGACAACCCATCTGAAACTCGAGACAGTTACAGCGATTAACGGGCAGGTGGCGCTCACAGAGTGGACACCGAGCGGGGGTGAGCAGAGTGGGACCGTGGGAGATTTCACCGCACCATTCAGAATTTTGCGTGACTTAAAACAGGAATTGTTTATTTTTGTAGCTTTCCCTTTAATATTTTCAGGCTGCAGCTGACCACAGGTAACGGAAACCATAGAAAGTAAAACCTCAGAGAAGGGAGGAGCAAATCCCTGTCCCTTCTGATCTTCCTCCCCTGTGTTTACTGCCACCTACCAATCCGTGCACGCGGCTATGCGCCGCAAGAGCAGAGGCGCAGCGCTGGGACGAACTGTGCTTTGGGTCTGCAAGAAAAGATGGCAAATGACTAAAAGTCCAACCTGGAGATAAAGAAGCAGAGAACGATGCCGGGCGTGGTGGCGCAGGCTGGTAATCCCAGCACTCGGGAGGCTGAGGCAGGAAGGTCATTGTGAGTTCGAGACCAGCCTGGGCTACAAAGTGAGCTCAAGGTCAGCCTGAACTGCAGAGTGAGACCCTGTCTCAAAAAGGCACAAACAAACAAACACAGAGAACAGTTTATTGCTTGCAGAGAGCCAGGGGGCACGGGTGACTTCCAAAGCGGGTGTCTCCCCAGACCAAGGCAGGCAGGGATGACGCGCCTGTCCATGCCGGGGAGATGTGTCATGCATCCACGCAGTGCAGGTTCCTGCACGTGCCCCGTCAAAGTCGCCTTGTTCATAAGTACGCATTTTAAACCACAGAGGGAAGGGACCAGTTTCGTGAGAGATCTTTCCGGGGGCTGGGTGGGGGGGTGGTTTGAGAGGACTCGGAGGAGCACACAGTTCCCGGGGGCCTGGGCTCCTCCGGAAGCTGTGCCTGCGGATCTGCGGGAGCTGGCGCTCAGGCGGCGGGAGAGCTGGAAGCACGGAGGAAGCTTGGCTGGGGGACCCCTGCCCTAGGTCGCCTAGAAGAGGGGCTGGGCAATTTTGGCTGCTTTAAATCAGCTCCCCGAGGTCATCTCTGGAAGACCTCATCGGAAACAAAGAAACAACTTGAGCGGATGTTAGCAGTCAGCAGCTTCTCCCCACAACCACGGCACTTAATCCTGACACTAACCTCGCCTCTGTATTTGCTTGTGTGATAGTGAGGATTATACCCTTGCGTGGTGGGCAAGTGCGCTACCACGGAGCTACATGCCTAGCCCATTTTATTTTTAATTTAACTTTTTGGTTTTTTGAGACAGGTCTCACTATGTAGCTAAGGCTAGCCTTGAGCTCACAGTGACCCTCCTGCCTCGGCCTCCCAAGTGCTGGGATTATAGGCATGTACCACCACACCGGGCTCATTTTATTTTGAGATAAGGTCTCATCATGTTGCTCAGGCTGGCTTTAAACTTGTGATCCTCCTGCCTCAGCTCCAGAGTAGCTGAGATCACTGGTGGATGCTACCATGTGTGGCTAATGTCCCCTCTGGGTGCTGGGCTCTGGCTGAGCTCTGTGTGGGAGAAGAAGGAGCTGTCCAAACACAGCTGGCCTTCTGGACATGGACTTTGCTTGAAGCAAGATGATTATAAGAGAATTTTATGAAAAATGATGTGGGGAAATTTACATCAAATGAAGGACTTGGGGAAAAGGGATGACCGAAGAAAAAGTTGAGGGGAACCCCTGGATTTTGAGGTCCTTTCCAATCTGAGCCCACTGAACGTGCTTTGACACCCCCCCCCATTCCTTGTTCTGTGAGCAAAACGGACCCTCCTTAGTGCTTGAGCCCACGAAACCAGTTAGGCCTCCTTGCGTCTCAAGTACAGAGTTAACACCTAAGAAGCAGGCACCCGCTCCACAGCAGTGACGTCGTTAGATTAACGAGGTCACTGAAGGCTGGGCTAAAATGATCTTTCCAAATTTCTTGTTTCCCTCAAAGCAACCAAGCAGCCAAACACACAAGCGGTGCTCACCAAAGCCCAGCCCCTCAGCACGGACGTGGGCCGCGTCCCAGGCCTGAGGGGGTCTGTTCTTGCCTCCCCAGGCGAAGTCCTGGTGTTCCTCGACAGCCACTGCGAGGTGAACAGAGTGTGGCTGGAGCCCCTGCTGGACGCCATCGCTCGGGACTCCAGGACCGTCGTGACCCCTCTCATCGACGTCATTGACGACTTGAGCCTGGCCTACTCGCCCTCTCCCTTGGTTCGGGGCGCCTTTGACTGGAACCTCCAGTTCAGGTGGGATAACGTTTTCTCTTATGAGATGGACTCTCCAGAAGGCCCAACGAACCCGATCCGGTGAGCTTTCTCCTGGTTATGGGACCTGAAAACAATCCTCAGGGATTAGTCCTTAGATTTCTTGGGTTACTGAAGATGAATATATTTTGTCACTTGTATTTTGTTTAGAGACAGGGTCTCACTGTGTTGCCCAGGCTGGCTTCAAGTTTGTGATCCTCCTGCCTCTGCCTCCCTAGGAGCTGGGATCAAAGGCATGTGCTACCATGTCTGGCTAATGCCATCTCTGGATGCTACATTAAATTTTTAATATGAGAGTTCGGTAGATGTAAAGTTTCTTCAGTCAAAACTGTGCATTTCACCCTAGTTGAGAAAACCAGGATAGGCCAGGCATGGTAGCCCACTACTATAATCCTAATACTTGGAAGGCTGAGGCAAGAGGGTTGCCATGAGTTTGAGCCTGTTCAACATAGTGAGTTCAAGGCCTGAAGAATGTAACAAAATCCTTTCTAAAAATAAAAACAAACGAACACCCAGAAAACAAGAATAGCAAGTACTACTCTGATTTCTGACACTCATCTTTAGAATTTTGTTCTCAAAGGCAAGTTGTACGTTACCAGTGAACCACGTGCCCACGCCGTAGCTAGCCCGGAGGGAGCAGGGATCTTTGACAAATTCATATATGAACTATTTACCCAAGTGTTTCCATGCGGAACGTCTAGGTTGAGATGAAAGTGATTTCTCTATGTTGTTAGTCTTGGAAAGTGCGAGAACAGCGCGACTTGCTTTTAATTCTCAGCTCACTGTTCCAAGTTGGAAGCTCGCGGCTCCGAGCTGCAGCCGCACCCCCTTATTCCAGGAAGAAGTAAAGACTACCGTACTTTTTGCGGGAACCCCCAGAAAGCTCGTGCAGTCACCGAGCGCGGCCGCAGAGGGGCGCAGACACGGGCTCTCGGCCCAGGGCCGCGTCCTCTGCAGAGCGCCCCCGCCCGTCCCCGCGGCCTGCGTCCCGAAGCGCCGCCTCCCGGCCCCGGGCTCTCTCAGTGCAGTTCACCCCGTCCGCCCCGCGCGGCCCCTCCTCCGGGCGGCCTTCCTCGCCCGCCTGCTCCGTGGACCGGCTAGGCGCTCAGTGCACGCGATGTCACTTGACGTGCATCTCCTCGCGGACTGCGTGCTCTGTCGCTCTGGTTCTCCAGCACCGCAGCGCTGTGCACACGGTCCGCACAGGCGGAGCAGCGTCTCACTCTGGTCGCGCAGACCACCCCTTTTAGCCGCTTAGGCGTGCCGTGTAGTCGCACCGGCAGGAGGCGCTGTTCACGCACTCAGCACAGCGCTCTGGAAAGCGTGTGAAGTCAGCTCGATTTGGGTCAGTTCCCTCTCAGACTCGGTGTCCTCATCTGTAAGGGCCACCTCCCAGGACTGCCGAGGGGATTAAGTGAGCCAATACTTTTACGTGGTTGTGGTCTTAGAATTTTACATACCTAGATGTATTTTAAGATACTTCGAGTGCTGATACGGTTGTTTCCTAATTTTCAACTATAAATTTCACTTACAGTCAAACCATTTTTAGGGAAACTCGTGATTACAGTCTCTGTGGCATCAGTTTATAATATTTCGTGTCCCATACCAGGTCACCTGCAATGGCTGGAGGAATTTTTGCTATACACAGGCCCTACTTTTATGAACTTGGACAGTACGACAAGGACATGGATATTTGGGGAGCAGAGAATTTGGAACTTTCACTAAGGGTAATTCAGATTTTGTTGTTTCAAATAGTTACCTTTGTATCCAGGTGTGGTGGCACATGCCTGTAATTCCAGTCATTGGGAGGCTGAGGCAGGAGGATCCCCTCAAGGTCTAGGCAAGCCTGACCTATATAACAAGATCCTGTCTAAAATAAAATTTAAAAATTAAGTGTTATATTTTAAGTACAAAAGGATGCGGGCTAGGGATGTAGCTCAGAGGCACAGCACCTGCCTGGCAAGTGCAAGGTCCTGAGTTCGATTCCTGGTACAAAAAAAAAGATGCACAAATAACTGAATCCAGGCAGGACTGGCATTTCTCTAGTTACTTATAGCAGGCAATGCTTAGTGCAGGAGCAGTCACTTAGGGTCCCTTAGGGTGCTACCCCTCAGAACAGACTTCCTTAACTGAAACCCTGTCCTCTGCCACTCACCTGGTCCGTGACATCGGGCAAACTTCTTAGCTCTTCTTTCATTAGCTTTCCTACCTGCCGAGTGGTAGTAATCCTGGGCTATCATGAGGATTAAGTGAAGGAAGTTTAATGCACATTAGCCATTGTGATGTCTGTGAATACACCCCAGAGGTGCCTCGTAGTGGCAAAGACACCCTCACTTGTGTCTTGTTCTTCTGTCTAGATATGGATGTGTGGAGGCCAACTCTTTGTAATTCCCTGCTCCCGAGTGGGACACATCACAAAGAGGCACCTGCAAACGGATATACCCCTCAGGAACGCCATGGTCCGGAACTATCTGAGAGTGGTGCACGTCTGGCTGGACGAATACAAGGTGGGACACCAGTGTCCGGTGGGAAGCACGAGGGCCGGCGCACGAAGCGCAAGGCTTGTCGGGAAGACGCCTCCTGCAGCCTTTCCAGACCGTAACACGACAGCACCCCTCCTCCCTCCCCTCCCTGGACCTGTTCTCAGTTACTCCATTCCTAGCTGGTGTATTTGCACTTCATTTAGCAAAATTTAATTTTTAGGGAAATTCAAGCTTCTTGGAAGTAAATGAAGCAACATGATAAATAGTTCTCCTCCAAATCTATTTTCTTCTTAAAAAACTGGCTCCTGACTCCCAAAGCAAATAGCCCCTTCCTGCACCATCCCAATGTGCAAATCATATTTTTTGTTTTATTTTTTTCACTGGGGATTGAAGCCCGGACCTTCACACTAAACTATACTCCCCCTCCTTTTTATTTTTTATTTTGAGACAGGGTCCCACTAAATTGTCTAGACTGGGCTTGAACTTTCCATCCTCCTGCCTCGGCCTCCCAGAGTGCAGACAAGAGCCACCACATCCGGCTAAACCTTTCAATTTGCTTCTAATGCCTTCGGTCACCAGGACACAGAAACAAGGATGTAAACAGCATTGTGTGTGTTGGCCAAAGCTGAATGTGTGATCCAAATCCTTATCTAGAATAGATCGGTCTGGGTAGCATATTTAATCACTGTAATTCTATGCAGTCATGAGATTCACCAACTGTAGATATGTACACAACAGCAGCATGAGTGAATCTTTTTTTTTAAATTGGTATATGTCTGCAATACATAATAGCGACTTTAGGGAGATATATATATATCTTCATCATTTAAGTCCTCTTGCCCCCTTCCATTCTCCCTGCTTCCTCTGATCCCCTTACCCATCTCCAAAAAGGTCACCTCTGTTTCCTACCTTCTCTCCTAGCATAGGGGAATCTTAAAGATGTAACAGTGAATAGTGTATTGTTCCCTTTCTATAACGTTAAAATGAGTAAAATTAAACTATATAATTTGTCTGTAAAAACACAAGGAAGAAAGCAAAAATATAATCAAAATAGCATTTAAACTGGGCATGGAGGCACGTGCCTGTAATCCCAGCACTTGGGAAGCTGAGGCAGGAGGATTGCCATGAGTTTGAGGCCAGCCTGGGCTACATAGTGAGTTCAAGGCCAGCCTGAACATAGCAAGACCCTGTCTCAAAACAACAAAAAACAAAACAAACAAACAAAAGCATTTAAAACAAGGAGAGGATTATGATGAGGAGAGAGAAGGCTGGGACTCCTGGGACCTTGGTCATGTTCGTTTCCAGAGTTGGGGCTACTGAGCTTGATTTCTCAACAATTCATTAAGCTGCATATTTATATTTTATGTACTTTTTTATGTTTATTATATTTATTGATTTTTTTAAAAAAGACTTTCTTAAAACAGTGAACTATGCTCATTTTAAAGTTTTAACAGTCCTGAAGTACTGTACCTAGGAGGAAAAGTGAGTTTTCTAAGCCCTGAGATCCAGTCCTCAGAGGTCATTACATTAATGCCCATGTGCACTAGACATATTCTGTTTGTTTGCATGACTAGATTCACATAACATTTTGCTCTGAAATATTCATTTGCTACTATTTTTGAACACATAATTAATAATTAATTATGATATCTGGATTATCTTTCAATCTGGATTATCTTTCAAATTAGAATATATATAAAAATATCATCTTCTCAATACTTCCTTTGACTGGATCTACCCAAGTTGATCCTGTTGATAAGTAGGACCCACTGGTAGACATTCTAATCATCCCAGCTGTTATTCCTAGGCAACACTGAAGTGAACATCTTTTACACATATATTTTTGGACATTTATGCAAATATATCTCTGGAATAAATCTCAAGATTTGGACCATTTGGAGAATGAGTTAATGCATTCAAAATCCTGATGACACCTGGGCATGGTGGTGCACACCTATAATTTCAGCACTCAGGAAGCTGAGACAGGAGGATCACCTCGAGTCTGAGGCCAGCCTGGGCCAGTGAGTTCAAGAACAGTCTAAACATTACATAGTGGGACCCTGTCTCAAAAGAAAAAAATCCTGATAAATAACATTCAAACTGTTCCTTTGCTATCTACACAGTAATCAAAGGTATAGGATGCTGCCCACATTGGTCATAATTAAACTGTACATTTCTTCTAATATGATAGGCTAAAATGATATTCCATTGTTTCAAGTTACCATTTCATTTAGTTATGAGAGATCTTGAGCTCATTTTCACACTTGTTGACTTTTTTTCTTATGAGTCCTCATCATAGATGTGGGCAGTTGAATCGAACAATATTCCCGAGTGGTGCGGCCAATTTAGCAAAGGATAAGCTGCCAAAAAGTTAATTTTAAAGCACATAACGTTAGGCAGAAAATCAACAGGTGGTATGACACAGCACATTGTCAAATTTAGTGGGTGACCAGCTGTGAGAGAGGGCTTTGGACTCAAATACGTTGCCCAAGGGTCGCCCATGCCTCACTTTGCCGGAATGGTAACACCTCCCACACCTTCCGCCCATGCCCTGCCCCAGTCTATCCTGGAAGCGAGGTGGCCCGTAACTCTGGCCCGTCAGCTCCCTCTCTTTCAGTACTGTTGCTGTATTATGTAGCAGGCATTGGGAGCACTCAGATGAGAATACAAAGGCTCTGCTTCCAAAGAAGCTTCAGTCTAGGGGCTGGGGATTTAGCTCAGCGGCAAAAGCGCCTGCCTGGCAAGCGCAAGGTCGTGAGTTCGGTTCCCGGTACCGGAGAAAAACAAAAAAAAAAAAAAAAAAAAAAGAAGCTTCAGTCTACTTAGAATGCCCCCCTTAACCTACGACTGACGGAGTCCATTAGGCAGTCATCCTTAGTGCTTCCTAAGACAAGGGACATTAGGACCTAAGCAGATGTGCTAGGAAGGACATCAGGACCTAAGCAGATGTGCATTACAGCCTAAGCTGATTCGCTAGTAAGGACCAACACAGACCTGATGGCCTTCGTCTCCTGGGGCTTTGCACGTATTAGATGCTCACAGCGACCTCACGATGGGGGGTGGCACCAGAAACTCAGCCGGGGTCACAGGCAGTTAATGGCAGAGCCAGAACTGGAACCCAGCCTGTCTCCCCTGGCCCCAGAGTCCACTCCCCGTTAACCAGCACACCTTCCCTTATTCTGAAAAGATGGAAGCATCTCTTGGTCCTTGAGTTGTGAGGGTAGGATACAGAGGCCACTACTGTAGGTAACTGTGATTCCTTTCACTTCTGAGAAGCAGGACCCAGTTTTCCCGGACTCCACTGTATCACCTGACCTGTGCCATGCATGGACAGGGACCAGGGATTCGTGCGTTGGTCTGAGGCCCCATAGGTACCGCTGGTCTTGTTCCCTACACAGAAGGAAGGGGACCCTCAGTCAGATGATGATGACGATGTATGCTGCTATGTCTGACACCATGATCTGATTACCAAAGGTTTGTTTGGCTAATGAAATGACTCTTTATTTTCATTTAGGAGCAGTTCTTTCTTCGAAGCCCTGGCTTGAAATCCATGACATACGGAAACATTAGCGAACGCGTTCAGTTAAGGAAACAACTGGGCTGTAAGTCATTTCAGTGGTACATGGAAACCGTCTTCCCAGAGCTGGAGGCATCCATGAACAGCTGATGAAGGAAAAAAGTCATTTTCGTTAATAGTTAAGAAACCCCCTCATCCTTCAAGATGGTGGCACCAGAGGACAAGTTTGGAACGTCATGGAGTGATGTGAAAAGCAGTAAGAAATACAACCAGAATGGCCTACATTGGGAGTGTTGGTTTTCCCCCTTCGACGGCAATTCCTAATCTTTTGTTGCTCACTGCCACTGAATTCCTGGGATGGCAGGACCCTGAGTATTACAAATGGAAGCCGTTTCAGAGCGGAGACTCAAGCGTATAATCGATCGTGGGAAAGCGTGTTGTTTGCAGATATTTTCTGAACTCACTTGGTCCTGGTGGCCCTCCAGGGAGGGACCTGTTCTGCTCCAGAGCTTGCACCAGCCTGCCTTCCGCTCCAAGCAGATCCACCGATGCGGTTGCCTTAGGAGGACATTCCCGGGGGCCACCCTGGCACATTCTGACCCCGGCAGAGTCAAACCAAGCTCCTTGCTTGCGGCTGGCACGGAAGTGGGGGCTGACACCTGGCCTGACTGGGTTTCTGAGTCTCTGACATACCACCCACTTGATGCACATCTCAGTTCCGTCCTCAAGGCTGCTCTCTTGTCTGTCCTTCTGCCCATCTGAGTAACTCCCTCCTCCCTATCTCTGATTTTGCTTTTTTCATGTCTGAGCCCTCCTGTATCTGGCTGGGGTCCCACCTGGGAAAATGCAGTCCCAGATGGCTAAGGTGGAACTTTAGGGATTTGTGGGGTTCACCCAGGTGAGGGTGGTTAGGAAGGTGAAAGGTAATAAAAGAGAAAACGAGGGACGAGACCTAGTGAAAGGGCCAGTGAAGCCGGGCATGGTGGCACGCACCTGTAATCCCAGCACTTGGGAGGCTGAGGCAGGATTGCCTCGAGTTCAAGGCCAGCCTGGGCTACAACATGTATTCAAGGCCAACCTAAACTGCATAGCAAGACCCTGTCTTGAAAAAAAAAAAAAAAAAGAAAGGGGCAGTGAAAATAATGGGGGAGACATCTGATGGGCTCTCAAAACACAGTCCTTGCTAGAGAAAAGATAAATGAGTCATGCATCAGGAGACAGTTTGACTTGTCTGTCATAGTCATTCAGTCAACGATGGACCAGGAAGGCAGCAGGGACCCAAGCACCAGGGATCTCACCCCTGCTGAATTTATGTTTTTGAGATCATACCTACTTGTAAATAAAAAGAACTAGTTTATAATCTCTTTCTACAGTCTATCTAGCAAAATACTCTACAAAAACCGATTGTTAGATAAACATGGAAAAAACTGGGGCTTATCTATGACAAATGGCCAGGGTAACTTGAGCCTTTAATAGGTTGATGTGGCAGCCCCAAAGAAATGCCACAGTGAGATTATATACTTGGTCCATACATGATGCCTGACATGCTTCTAGAAAGTCATAAAAACTCTAGACTTCATAAAAATTAATTGTCACAAAATATATGAATTCATGGGTAATAAACCTACTAAAATTATTAAATCTTAAATTACTATAATTAAGATTGTTACATTTAATAAATCTATTAAAATTAGGGTAATTTAGAAACTCTGTACCTGCAGGAAAAAAGGAGAAATATGGAATATCTTCTTAAAGTAACAACTTTTTTTTCTAGTTTCAAAATTTGAGAATATTTTTTTTGTTTTGATGGTAAGCATAAAGGGTGGATGTTGGACACACCAGCTCTGCCAAAAGAAAATGACAGAAATGTTCTCTGTCTCTCTTTTTAAAGTCATGGGCCTAATATTAAGTCTTAGTTGTTTTGTTTGTTTCAGTCCATGTTTCCAGCACGTAATGCATACATTGCCTTTGTGGTGTGGGTATATGTACATAACACATCTTGGGAGCTTGTTTGGTGGGCCTAGCAGGGGAGCACAGCTACTCCTATCCCTACTCCTATCCTCTATTGGAGCATGCAACTTCGGGAGGGATGCACATGGAGTGGGGAAGGGGGAAGGGGACACCTTCCTAGCCTGCCAGATCAGCCAAATCAACCGTGGTGATCAATGGTGTGACACGTCACAGCCAGATTACCCTCACATCCACGTAACCCACCTTAACTCCTTTTCGGGGGTGTTTTGAGACAGTCTCACCATGTAGTCCAGGCTGGTCTTGAACTTGCTATGTGGCCCAGGTCAGCCTTGAATTCATGGTGATCCTCCTGCTTCAGCCTCCTGAGTGCTGGGTTTACAGTCGTGCACCATCACGCCAAGCAATTCCTTTTCTCATCCCCTTCCCTTCCTGCCACCCCCTTCCCTTCATCTCGTTCCCCTTCACCTTTAAGAAAAATCTACCTATTTCCTATTATCTTTTATTTTGCTCTTTGTGTATACTTTGGGTTTCTCCTGTAAGAGAAACCATGTGATATTTATGCCTGTGTGTCTGATTTCTTTCATTTAACATTATGGTCTCAGGATGCATCTGTTTTCCCACAAATGATTCAGATTATCTATTTGTATGGCAGAGTGGTACTCCACTGTGTGTAAATGCCACATGTTCTTCATTTATCTGCTGATGGACATATAGGACACTTCCAAGACTTAGCTGTTAGGACTTGTGCTACTATAAACATGGCATGTGTACATCACTAAAATATGATGACTTTAATTCTTTTGGGAAGATTATTTGGACAGGGAATAGCTGGATCAAAAGAAATTTATTTGTTTTTTGAGGAATCTCCATACTGATTTCCATAGTGATTGTACAAGTTTACATTCCTATCAACAATATAGGGGCTGGGGATTTAGCTTAGCGGCAAAAGCACCTGCCTGGCAAGCGCAAGGTCTTGAGTTCGGTTCCCGGTACCAGAGAAAAACCAAAAAAAAAAAAACTAAAACTAAAAAAATAAAAAAAACAATATAGAAGGGCTCCTTTCCCCCCCGCCCCCCAGCCTGGCCAACATTTGTTATTATTTGATTTCTTGATGTTGGTCATTTTTTCTGGGGTATGATGGAATCTCAGTGGTGCTGTTTTAATTTGCATTTTTCCAATGACCAGCGATGTTGAGCAATTCTTCAATTATTTATTGGCCATTTGTACTTCTTCTGTGAAGTGCCTATTCATTTCACTTGCCAATTTTTTGATTGGGTCTTTTATTTGGAGAGGTCTAATTCTTTTGAGTTCTTATATATTCTAGCATGTCTTCTGCCTGAGGAATAGCTGAAACTTTTTCCCATTCTGTAGATTGTGTCTAAACTCTTGGTTGTTTCTTTTGCTGTGCAGCAACTTTTTAATTTGATCTGATCCCATTTTTTTGATTCTCAGTATGATTTCCTGTGCAACTGGGGTTCTTTCAGAAAGTCCTTGCCTACATCTATGACTTCAAGTTTCACCTGCTTCATCTTCCAGCAGGTTGTTTCTGTTTTAACATTTAGTTCTTTGATTGATTTTGAATTTAGCTTAGCACATGGTGAGAGAGATGGGCCTAGATTCAAATCTTCCATAGGTGGATAATCAGTTGTCCCTATCTTTCCTCCAGTATGCACTTTTGGCCCCTTTGTCAAAGATCATATTTAGGGTTGTTTCTGCATCCTCTATTCTGTTCCATTGCTCACATCTATTTTTGTGCCAGTACCATGCTGTTTTTACACAGTAGCTTTGTAATATAACTTCAAGTCTGAGCTTGCAATGCCTCCCACTTTGCTCTTGTTACCCAGGATTTCTTTTGCTATTCTGGGTCTCTCCCGGTTCAATATGAATTTTAGGATTGTTTTCTCCAGTTCTGTGGAGAATAGCATTGGTATTTTGATTGGGGTTATATTAAATGTTATCAATTTTTGGAAGTATGGTCATTTTGACAGTATTCATTCTACTTACCAAGGAACAGGAAATATCTTCCCATTTTTTGATGTTCTATTTTATTCACTTTTTCAGAGGGCTGTAGTTTTCATTGTAGAGATCTTTCACTTCCTTAGGATAATTCCTAAATTGTTAATTTTCTTTGTGCTATTATGACTATTTTTAAAATTTCTTTCTTAGTGGGTTCACTATTAGCGTACATGAATATTATTGACTTTTGTGTGTTGGTTCTATGTTCTGCTACCTTACAGAATTTGGTTATTTTAAGAATCTTTTGGTGGGTTTTTTTGTTCTATGTAGAGGATCTCATCATCCGCAACTAATAATTTAACTTTGTCCTTTCCTATACATATCTCTTTATTTCTTTTTCTTGCCCAATTGTTCTGGCTAATGTTTTGAGTACTACATTGAACAGGAGTGGTGATAGTGGCATCCTTAATTTTAGAAGGGAACCTTTCAGGTTTTCCCCATTTAGTATGATGTTGGCAGTAGGTTTGCCATAAGTGGCTTTTATCAGATTGAGCTATTTCTATACCAATTTCCTTCAGTGTTTTTTTTTTATCATAAAAAGATGTTAGATTTTGTCAAAGGCATTTTCTGCATCTAATTTAGATGATCATGTGATTTTTCCCTTGCTTCCGTTTATGTGATGTATTGCATTTATTGATTTGCATGTTGAACCATCCTTGCATCCCTGGGATGAGTCCTATTTGGTCATGATGTATGATCTTTTTGATGATCCATTGCCATTCTGTTTGCCAGTACCTTGCTGAGGATTTCTGCATCTTTATTCATTTTGCATCTATCTTCTCTTTTTTGGTTGGATTTTTGTCTGGTTTTGGAATCAGGGTAATGACAGCTTCCAGGAATGACTACAAGGAGTACTCCTGCCCTTTCAATTTCATTAAAGACCTTAAGGAGTATTAGTGTTAGGTCTTCCTTTAAGTTATTTGTTTTTCTAGAATTCAGCATTGAATCCATCTGGACCTGGGCTTTTCTTAGTTGGTACTTTTTTTTATTACTGCTTCAATTTCATTGCCTACTGCTGAGGACCAGCTTGATGTGGTAGAGCAGGCAACACTTTTTTTTTTTTTGTCTTTTAGAGACAGGGTCTCACTATGCAGTTCAGGCTGGCCTTGAACTCACTTTGCAGCTGAGGCTGGACTCACTCATTGCAATCCTCCTGCTTTAGCCTCCTGAATGCTGGCATTACAGGCATGTGCCAACATGCCCAACCTGTATTAATAACTTGGCACAAAAATAAACTGAGAGTCTGTCCTAGGCCTACATGACTTGTGGTGAGACCTCTGGCTGGCTTATGGACAGA